GCGTTTTGGGCTGGATAATTCTTTATTTTGGGGGACTGTCCTGCGTGTTCTAGGGCATTTAGAAGCACCCCTGGCCTCTGTCCATTAGATGCCAGTGGTGTTCCCCGTGTGTGAGAATCAAAAGTATCTTCAGTCATTTCCAAATGTCCCTGGGGAAGAAGATCACACCTGATTCAGAGTTAACACCTTCAGCCACAGTCTCTCTGTGACCATAACGCATATTATACCTGCTTAATTCTTTTTTTTTTGACTCTTTTCTCTTTTACCCACTTCAGACATTTTTTTAAAAAATGTGTTTTAAATAACTTTTTAAAAAAATGAAAGGTGGGGTTAGGTACTCTCCTGACATACTATTTCCTGTGCCTTAAATTAAATCTCTGGAAATGTGTACCTAATAGCTTTGTAGGACAAATAAAAAGTGGTGTTTAAATTTGGCTGTATTAATACTGAGTTGCCTGGTCTGGTTTTTGCCAAGAAGGATGCCTGTTTTGTTGGAAGTGATGAGTGAGAGGCATCTAGCTCCCAGGGAGTGGGCATGTGTCAGGGCATTGGGGGGACCAGGTGCAGACCCAGTGAGGGCCCCCTCCCAGGACCTCTGTCTTGGTTCTCCCCACCGGGACTCCTCCCAGGAACCATGCAAACTTCTGTGACACTCCTGGGGGCTGACCTACCTCCCAGGGTCCTCTCTGGAGAACTTTAGAGCGCTAAGGTCTCCTGGATGTTCAGACCAGATTCCTAAGTTCTGGTGGACAGAACCCTAAAAACTTGATTCCTCTTTGAGGCGAGTTGATCGTCTGTCTCAGGATTGAGCTTTTTAATCTGATCTTGTGCTTCTTAAACAAACCCTTCAATAGTCACCCAGTGCCCTTAGATTAAGACCCCAGAGCCTGCCTCTGGCTGACAAGGTTGTGTAGTAACCACCTCTGCCCTCTTCTCCTGCTGTCTCTGGCACACTTTGCACCAGCCACACTGGCCTCTCGGGGACCTCAAGCCCGTCATGCACGCTGCTACCTCAGGATCTTTGCTCTTGCAGTTCCCTCTACCAAGAATGTCCTCTCCCAAACCTTCTTGAAGCACCACTGACTCTTCCTCATACTGAAGGTGTATCTTCCATGCCACCCGTTCTGAGAGGCTCCTCATCACAGCTCCATGCCCCTCAGCTGCCCGCTGCACCCACTGTCCTGCTTGCTGGTGTCCACACCACTTCCAGTTGTTTGAAATCACCTTCTTCATGGCGTTTATTATTTGTCTCCATGCACTAGAACATGAAGTCCACGAGAGCGTGTAGTCTCATTCAGCCCTGGTGTGCTGCCTGGAAGGCACTCCATAAGTCCTGGCTCTGTGCATGAATGGCAGCTGATGCTCTCTGTGTCGTGACACAAGAGGCTCAGGAGAACTGTCTGTATAGCAGTGGTGGGGGGACCCGAGAATCTGCTCACAGCTCTCACCTTGTTCTCTGTGATGGTGAACGGTGCAGGCTCAGTAAGGAGAGGGCTTGTTGATACTTTAGGGAGGAATGGGTCAAGTCACGCTCCTGGAACAGCAGGCTCCTTCCTACCTGCCTCTTTCCCTCCCTTCCTATATATCATAAGATTTACCATTTCAGCTATTTTACAGGCTGTGATTCAGTGACATTTAGTACATTCCCAGTATTGTGTAACCAGCACCACTGTCTAGGTCCAGAAGATTTTCATCCTCCCAGAGGAAAACTGTGCACATTAAGCAGCCATTCCCCGTCACCCCTCCCCCAAGCCCCAGGCAACCTACTTTCACTAATCTACACCCTGTCCCTATGGATTTGCTTCTTCTGGATATTTCATATAAATAGCATTGTACAGCAAGTGCCCTTTGTGCCTGGCATATTGCACTTTGCATGACATTTTTAAGGTTCACCTGTTGTTTTTCTTGTCAGGACTTCATTCCTGTTTATGGTTGGATAAAACTCCAGGGTCTGGTAGAACCATTTGCTTATCCATTCGTCGGTTGATGGACATTTGAACTGTTTCTGCCTTTTGGCTATTACAATTAATGCTGCTGTTCACATTTATGCATGTGTTTTTTCTTGCTCGTCTGTTTTCCGTTGTTTTGCGCATGCACCGGAGTGCTGCTGGGCCCCACAGTGGTTTTCTTGGACTTACTGCAATACTGCCAAACCTCCACAACGTTGCGCTGTTGTAGGTTTCCACCAGCATTGCATGAAGGCTCCAATTGCTCCACATGCTCTCCCGTACTTCTCTTCATTTAAAAAAATATTATTTATATTATTGTTGCCATCCTCGTGGGTGTGAGGTGGTCTCTCATCGTGGCTGTGATTTGATTTCCCTGACAACTAATGATATGAGCATCTTTTTGTGTGCTTGCTTTGTCTCTCTGTGACCATAACGCATATTATACCTGCTTAATTCTTTTTTTTTTGACTCTTTTCTCTTTTACCCACTTCAGACATTTTTTTAAAAAATGTGTTTTAAATAACTTTTTAAAAAAATGAAAGGTGGGGTTAGGTACTCTCCTGACATACTATTTCCTGTGCCTTAAATTAAATCTCTGGAAATGTGTACCTAATAGCTTTGTAGGACAAATAAAAAGTGGTGTTTAAATTTGGCTGTATTAATACTGAGTTGCCTGGTCTGGTTTTTGCCAAGAAGGATGCCTGTTTTGTTGGAAGTGATGAGTGAGAGGCATCTAGCTCCCAGGGAGTGGGCATGTGTCAGGGCATTGGGGGGACCAGGTGCAGACCCAGTGAGGGCCCCCTCCCAGGACCTCTGTCTTGGTTCTCCCCACCGGGACTCCTCCCAGGAACCATGCAAACTTCTGTGACACTCCTGGGGGCTGACCTACCTCCCAGGGTCCTCTCTGGAGAACTTTAGAGCGCTAAGGTCTCCTGGATGTTCAGACCAGATTCCTAAGTTCTGGTGGACAGAACCCTAAAAACTTGATTCCTCTTTGAGGCGAGTTGATCGTCTGTCTCAGGATTGAGCTTTTTAATCTGATCTTGTGCTTCTTAAACAAACCCTTCAATAGTCACCCAGTGCCCTTAGATTAAGACCCCAGAGCCTGCCTCTGGCTGACAAGGTTGTGTAGTAACCACCTCTGCCCTCTTCTCCTGCTGTCTCTGGCACACTTTGCACCAGCCACACTGGCCTCTCGGGGACCTCAAGCCCGTCATGCACGCTGCTACCTCAGGATCTTTGCTCTTGCAGTTCCCTCTACCAAGAATGTCCTCTCCCAAACCTTCTTGAAGCACCACTGACTCTTCCTCATACTGAAGGTGTATCTTCCATGCCACCCGTTCTGAGAGGCTCCTCATCACAGCTCCATGCCCCTCAGCTGCCCGCTGCACCCACTGTCCTGCTTGCTGGTGTCCACACCACTTCCAGTTGTTTGAAATCACCTTCTTCATGGCGTTTATTATTTGTCTCCATGCACTAGAACATGAAGTCCACGAGAGCGTGTAGTCTCATTCAGCCCTGGTGTGCTGCCTGGAAGGCACTCCATAAGTCCTGGCTCTGTGCATGAATGGCAGCTGATGCTCTCTGTGTCGTGACACAAGAGGCTCAGGAGAACTGTCTGTATAGCAGTGGTGGGGGGACCCGAGAATCTGCTCACAGCTCTCACCTTGTTCTCTGTGATGGTGAACGGTGCAGGCTCAGTAAGGAGAGGGCTTGTTGATACTTTAGGGAGGAATGGGTCAAGTCACGCTCCTGGAACAGCAGGCTCCTTCCTACCTGCCTCTTTCCCTCCCTTCCTATATATCATAAGATTTACCATTTCAGCTATTTTACAGGCTGTGATTCAGTGACATTTAGTACATTCCCAGTATTGTGTAACCAGCACCACTGTCTAGGTCCAGAAGATTTTCATCCTCCCAGAGGAAAACTGTGCACATTAAGCAGCCATTCCCCGTCACCCCTCCCCCAAGCCCCAGGCAACCTACTTTCACTAATCTACACCCTGTCCCTATGGATTTGCTTCTTCTGGATATTTCATATAAATAGCATTGTACAGCAAGTGCCCTTTGTGCCTGGCATATTGCACTTTGCATGACATTTTTAAGGTTCACCTGTTGTTTTTCTTGTCAGGACTTCATTCCTGTTTATGGTTGGATAAAACTCCAGGGTCTGGTAGAACCATTTGCTTATCCATTCGTCGGTTGATGGACATTTGAACTGTTTCTGCCTTTTGGCTATTACAATTAATGCTGCTGTTCACATTTATGCATGTGTTTTTTCTTGCTCGTCTGTTTTCCGTTGTTTTGCGCATGCACCGGAGTGCTGCTGGGCCCCACAGTGGTTTTCTTGGACTTACTGCAATACTGCCAAACCTCCACAACGTTGCGCTGTTGTAGGTTTCCACCAGCATTGCATGAAGGCTCCAATTGCTCCACATGCTCTCCCGTACTTCTCTTCATTTAAAAAAATATTATTTATATTATTGTTGCCATCCTCGTGGGTGTGAGGTGGTCTCTCATCGTGGCTGTGATTTGATTTCCCTGACAACTAATGATATGAGCATCTTTTTGTGTGCTTGCTTACTAGTTTATTTCTCCTACCGAGTGTGCCTTATTCTGGTGTTTAAAACTTTCCTGCACTGGACACTTTCTCTCTTTCTTGACCATAAGCTGCCTTGTTTATAAAATGGGGCTTAATAAACATCTCAGGAGAGAGACTGAGCTTTAGAAATTAAAGCATTGCTCGAATCTTTGTTAACTTAAGTCGAACATCTCTTTTTTCTCCTTTAAACCCTACCTTATTTTAAAATGCAGCACATGAACCTTAGGCTCATTTTCCAAATTGGCCAGTTTAATTAAGCGTGAATTTTCCGAATTTTGACATCTCTGAGTCTAACCCACCATTGTATCCTATGAATTTTTAGGTTTTAAATATATTTTAAATCTAGTTTATTTCTAAGATAGTCTGGGCAAGTATTTGACTTTTTGATATTTTAAAATAAATGGATAAATGTTGAAGTAGTTTTCATGACAACGTTTTTTTCCTTTTCAGAAAAAATTGCCTTTGACAACACTGGCTCAGTGTTTGATGGAAGGGTCAGCTATCCTGGGAGATGACACACTTCTTGGGTAAGGTGTTACCATATATTGGTTTGTGCCAAATCTAAGTAAGTTCCCATCCATAAAAGGGGGCCTAGAACTTCTCAGGGAGGCATTGAGGACACCTGCAGTCTGGCTGGGGACTTGGATGATGAAGGAGAAAAGCCTGCCAGTGAGAAATCGAAACCCCAGACCCCGAAGCCATGTTGCCTGTGCAGCACAGCAACTTCCAAGTGTAGAAATTAGCATAAAATTGTTGGTGGACAATTGAAATCTCTAGGGCTGAAGCAGAAGCAAATATGAAACCTTTCAGTGTCAGATGTCAGAACTTCTAGGATTCCCAGAAGAACAACCCTTGCTGATTTTGAGCTCACAATAAAAACGAACCAAAAAGAATTGTCATGGGAGTGAATCAGCAGGCTTAATCAGTAGGGAATCAGTACCCTAAGGTCTAAAAATAATAGGACAGCATGAAAGGAAATACAAAATAATTATATAAATGCATATAACATAATTATGTTAAAAATGAAGTTTAAAAATTAAACAAGAACAGAGCCTGCTTCAGCAGAGCATATACTAAAATTGGAATGATGCTGAGAAGATTAGCATGGCTCTTGCACAAGGATGACACAAATTTGTGAAGTGTTCCATATTTTTAAGAAAATGTTTTTGTAACTATGTATGGTGATAAATGTTACCTAGACTTACTGTGGTGAACATTTCACAATATATGCAAATATTGAATCAGTGTGTTATACACCTGAAACTAATATAATGTATGTCAGTTATACATGAAGCATAATTTATTCAATTATATATGAATGAAGTGTAAGAGAGAAAGATGTAGACATTATTCAGTGGAGAAGTGTTAACTCCAGGGGGAAAATATTTTCTCAGCCTGAGGCAAAATACCTTTGGAACTGAAATCAGTCAAAGGGAGAAATAAAGTGGGAGAAACCTGTTTATTGCCTACAAACAGTTGTCCACTTCTGCTCTCCCATGTCTCTTGTGACCTGGCTGCAAAAAGGGACCCCACCCAACCTCTCCAGTCCAGATAGGCCCTCGATCCCCCTTGTAATTACCTATTGATATGGAGATGGACTACTTCTCCCCACCCCTTGGAAACACCTATTGATGGATATGCACTAAGGCCAGGTGAGAGATTCTGGAAATAATCGCAATTTAACCCACAAGAAGCATGGGTGATGGAATATAGCACAATATCTAGTAGTAGTTCCTGAAGAAGAAAACACGGGAAAGAGAATTTTATGTATTTTTCTCTTCTAGATTTTCAGAAAAACAAGTCTTAGATTTAAGAAGCACAAAAAATCGTGATTGAGTTCAACACAAAGATATCCATCCCTGTACACAATATAGTAAAATGATACATTATTAACAAAAAAGAAATTTAAAATCAACCAAGGAAAAAGATAATTATCAAAGACCCATGAGATTGATAGCACACTATTTATGCATCAATTAAAAAATGCCAGGAAATAATAGGGTAATGTCTTCAAGTACTGAGTGACAATATAAGAAGCTTAGATTCTATTATAAACTAAATCACTATTCAAGAATAAGGGGAAAATAAGCATATTTTCAGGCAAAGATTTAGAGAAGTTACTACTTGCATATTCTCACTGAAAGGCCTAGTTACGGTTATGTAAAACATTATGTCTAGAGAAAAGGCATGAAAGGCAAATGTGGCATTAAAAAAATTAGTGAATGTGGCATAAGGGATGAAAAAATTATTTTTCCCTCTACCCATCTTAGGTTCCTTATATGGAGCCATGCAAACTAAATGACAAAAATAGATAACAAGAGAAAAACATACATTTTATATGTGCAGTGCACACACATGGGACAACTCAGTGATTAGTAACTCAAAGGGTGGCTAGAACTCAGGCTTATGTGGCATTTTCAACAAAAGAATAATAATTTTTATAGACATGACAAGACAAAGGGAAAAAAAAATAACCCTGAGTTTCTAGGGCAGCAAATTGTGGAAGGCAAATGTGCTCGGAAACTAATGGAAGATAAGGGCTAGTTAGGAAGGTGTATCATGTGGATTCCTCTGGTGCCTTCTCCTGGCTGATAAGGGCCTAGCGTTGTCTCTGGTGGTTAACTTCTATCAGTCCTGGTAGAGAGGGGAGGAGGGATACCTTAGTAAGTTTGTGCCCTGCTTTTAGGCATATAGGGGGAGGGCAGAGAGCTTTTTTGTATCTGCTTCTTCTCAGCTTCCTTCCGCACAAAATAATCCTTATACCAAAGTGGCATATTTTGGGGTTGCATTCAGTATAAAGAAATATAAATAAGTATTGAGTTTAAAAAAATAGCAATTTGGTAACGATCAGTTTTGGGGGAGTTTAAAGCAAAGTGAAACTAAAATACTAAAAATTAATAACTTGAAACAGTGGAAAGTGAAGTAGTGTTTAAGCTATTGTTTGAAAGAAGGATGATAATACTACATTTGAGAAAAGACTGGCCGCAAAAAGAATAGAAATAAAATGTATCACTTCAAAACTAGTGAAAGGATGAAAAGGAAAATAAGTACAAGAGAAAAAAAATCTGTGGAAGGAAGAAAAAATGAAAAAGTAAGCAAATAAAAGTATAGTAAATAGAAAACACAATGAAGGTAAAAGCAGTGAATGCATGTATGTCTGCAAGCATAAGAGACGTAAATGTCATAAATCCAAATCTTTATGATATAGAGAATCTCAGGTGGATAAACATGCATGCTGTTTCTGAGACACAGCTAAAACAGAGCGACACACCAAGGTTGAAAATGAAGGGATGAAGGACACCCAGGTAAAGGTGGCAGACTGAACACACACATCTAATTTTGTTCCTTTCCAAAAATCTGCTACAATAAAGGGATTTTTATGCGTGTTTCAGTTAACATGGTACCATGCAAAGGGAAGACTCTCTGGGTGGCATTCAAGGGAAATGAACATCTTTGAAATATTGCGTCCTCTCATTTAGGAATAGGACGTAACTTTCTACTCATTCAAGTCTTCTCTTGTTTGTTTATTATTAATAACTTCTGGGGTGGTTGTTCTATTCCAGTTTGCCTACTCACCCTGTATGATAAAAGTTTTCATGGCTTGGGAGAAAGAGGTTTCTTTTCTTTAGAGCCCATTGGAATTAAGGGTTTGTATGTCTTTAAAGATGTAGGTTTGTTTGTGCATCATTTAGCTGGTTTCACCAGTGCTCTCAGGGGAGATAGAAGCATCATGCTCTTAAAAAGCCCTGTGGATTCACATGTATGAGTCTGTGTATCCACATTCCTCTTACATTACCCTACATGTTCCTTTTACCCCAGGCACACAGTAGGTGCTTAGAATCATTTTAAAAATTGATAATTTCAGAAATGAAAATGGATAGAGTAAGTTGGTTAAGGGGACAGCTGGGAAATTGACAAGTTTATTAAACTGTCATGAACATTTACTCAGCAGGTGTATGACACAGTATGTGACAGTATGACACAGGTTGCACCTTGTTCTAGGGTATTCAGTATGGGTTTGTTCCTTTCTGTTGCAGGAAGATGCTGAAACTCTGTGGAGAGACAGAGGACAAGCTGGCTCAGGAGCTGATTCATTTTGAATTGCAAGTAGAGAGAGATGTGATTGAGCCCCTGTTTCTGCTGGCTGAGGTAAGCGGGAATGAGGCGTGGCTGAGGGAGCGGGGAGTAGGGACTAACATTGGCCCTTCGGTCAGCTTGCTTCCTGCCTTATTGTTTCTGTCCCTCCCGCTACTCTGATGTAGCTTTAAATCAGGGATTATTGCTACCTCATTGTAGGGTCAGGATTCCCCAGTAGGGCAGCCCCTTTAGCTGTTTGCCACCCGCTTCTTGCACCCTCCCGTTTGGCTGCTGGCATTCCAGTGAGTGACGGTGCAAAGCTGGCTTCACTGTCTCCTTCCCCCCAGGATCCTGACTGCTGCACCACCATGCCCTCCCATTTCAAGGCATTTGTGAGATGAACAAGCAGCCTCCCCACATGGAGACTGGGGACCATGTCCGAGAGACTCTGTGAGGCCTATTGTAGTTTATGTTTACATAGATCCCTTTCTTGGATTTTAAAGGATACTAAATAAAGCTGTTTTATAAAAAAAAAAACCTTTAGTGTCTATGGGACAGTTTTGCTAGCTTCAGCCAACTGAAATTTTGTCAAGTAGGAAAGGAAATGGTTGGGGGACGCTAGAGGCCTACTTTGGGTATGTTGTGGGTTTGCCTCCAGAACTCCATAATAGACCAAATACTGCAAACAAGTGAGTCAAGTGAATGTTTTTGGTTTCCCAGTGCATATGAAAGTTATGTTTACACCATATATAGTTTTCTAAGTATATAGTAGCATTAGGTCTAAAAAAAAGTTCATACCTTAATTAAAAAATACCTTATTCCTAAAAAATGTTAGCCATCATCTAAGCTTTCAGTGACTTAAAATCACTGATCACATATCACCATAACAAATATAATAATAGTGAACAAATTTGAAATCTTGCGAGAATTACCAAAATGCGGCAGAGACCCAAAGCGAGCAGCCCCTGTTGGAAGAATGGCGCCAGTAGTCTTGGCCCCATGTAGGGCCGCCACAGACTTTCAATTGGTAAAACCTGCAGTAAAGTAAAGCACAGTAAAATGAGTCTGCTTGTATTTGCCCTGAACCCTAAAGCTCCTCCCAACTGCCTTCAATTAGGCATGCAAACCAGGGCTGTCCCATAGGACTGTCTGTGATCGTGGAAATGTGCAATGCCTGCAGAGTTTGGTGGCCTTGAGCTCTTGAAATGAAGTTAGTGTGACTGTAGAACTACATTTTTAATTTGACTTAGTTTTCATTCATTTGAATTTAAAATGGCATAGCCACAGGTAGCTAGAGGGCACCGTATTGGCCAGCTTTGCCCTAGACCATATCTGGTTTCCTTTTTAGACAGCCGCCAGCACCTCCACATGCCCTGGTACGGTTTCTGGGACAGGATGTAGGCAAATAATTACCTGAGGGCCTAATGGTATCCAAGGAGAAAATCCCAGATATGGTACTCTGGTCTTGACCAGCTCTAGGCTTCTCTGATTGGCATCAGTTGACCTGTTACAGGTCATCCCCCAGCCTAGAACATTCACACAAGGCCCTTTGCTCTTCATAAAGGTGACCTGGGGTCCCAGCCAAAGCCTGAAGCAAACTCGGGGGGCAGGTCTTACCTGGGTCCTGAGACGCGCTTGTACAAACCAGATGCCCATGGGCCTCTCCAGCTTTGCCTCTGGGCTCTCGTGACCCCAGAAGCTCAAGTAGAGGTCATTACACCCAGGACACTACTTACCCTCTTCCAAGAGTGAATCGAAAACGCCTCAGAGATCACTGGATTTCCTTACATTTTCTCCTTATATCAAAGCCACAGGCTGACATGATTTTGGTTTAATTTGCGTCCAATTTCCCCTTTTAAGTGCTCACGTCCTGTCCCACTTTTGCTGGGCCTGGTACCAAAATCCTACACTGGAATGTTCAGTTAAGTCATTTTTAGAAATAAAAATATAAAAAGATCATCCACGCACAACCACTATGGGCGAACTTCTCAGCTGAGAAAAGCCATGGTGGTGTTTACTCATTATTTACTTTGGAAAGAATCTTACTTTATCTCTTTTAAAATATACCCTAATTGCATTCTCTGGAGCATCTCAGGTCTCCTGAGACCAGTTCCCTTTATCCTTCTGCCGTCTGTTTTGAATTAGGTCTGTGTGTCAGGCCTGATTGCCTTCCTCCCCCTCTGTAAGCAGAGGGACACAGGACTGAGCCCATTTCTGCTGGTTGAGGTGAGAGCAGGATGAGGAGCCTCAGTGGTCAGGGGAGCACAGAGCCCGGATGGTGAGCTGGGTCCTGGAGGGCCTGGCAGGTGTCCCACACAGAAAGCATGTTAGCGCAGGAAAAACAATGATTTCATCTGAAAGGAAGGATTGGGAGACTCTTGCCAACTTGTTGGATGGCTGTCCGTAGTTTCTTTGAGGATTTATCTTGAGCTTCAGTCCTCCTATGTCTTTTATCTCCTGTAACCACAGGTGGAAATCCCAAATATTCAAAAACAAAGGAAACATTTGGCAAAGTTGGTGCTGGACATGGATTCTTCACGAACAAGGTACAGTGGGGTTTCTTTGCTTTCATTTTTACCTCTTGGGACAGTGATCATATTTGGCAGGTAGGGAGTTTGGTAGGGAGTCTGTGTATGGGTGCATGTGAGTGTGTTTATGTTCACTCCCAAGTGCCAGGTACTTCCCCAGGAAGTAAGAAGGTAGGCATAGGGAGGGGAGATATGGGGCCCCCACTCTCATGGGGGCTGTAGCCTAGTTTGGGAGGCAGACACCAGGCCGGTGAACAAACTCACAAGACCATTTCCAGCAGCTGTAAATCCTAGGAGATGGCACAGTGGAATTTTGGAAGGGAATGATGGAGACGGGGGCAGGGCACAGTAACATTAGGTAAAGCAGGCTTTTTGAGGAGATAACTTGATCTGAGACATAAATGATGAGAAGGATGAAGCCAAGCAAGGATCTGGTACAGAACTGTCCATGGCAGTGGGAACAGCAAGTGTGAAGGCCCTAAGGTGGGAATGAAGTTGACATATTTGTGGACTGAATGAAGGCCAGTGTGGCTGGGGTCGAAGGAACAAAGGGGAGAGTAGTAGGTGCAGAGATCAGAGAGGCAGGATGGATGATGTGTGTCTATAATAAGGGGAGGATTTGTAATTCCAGGGACCTGTTCCCCTTTTCTTCAGCCCGTGGTATAGGGATCCCCTTTCTGTGGCCATTTGCTAAACCTGAGACCAGTTCCAACAGTGCTGCTTATCTCCTGCACTCCTCTCCCAGAATCCTCCAGAAAAAGCCTATTAGAGCTGGGAAGTGCCAGAGGCCCCGAGGTGGTGTTGATGCTGTCATATGTCATGATTGTACATACTTGCCTTTTCCACTGAAGTGTGTTAAGTGCACACATTGAAAGACTGCAGGCTCATGAATATTAATGTGGAAGGAACATTTTGGTTCTGTCTTGGGTCCTTTGTAGGTCGAGGTTAATAATCTTCCCATCTTGCATTAATTTTCTTGAAGAAACAAAACAAAAACAATATATTTGGGTTGAGAGATCTAAGATAAGGTTCTGAACCAGGAGTCAGAGATGAGATATCAAGATCCCCATCACCTGTTTTCTAGACCTGTGAGCTTGGTCAGGTCCCTCAACCTCCTAGCACAGCTGTTTCTTCACCTGTACACAGGTAGTAGCAACATTTGTGGGTTGAACTGAGGAGGTTATTTTGAGTGTCAAATGAGGTCATGCTTGCCACAGCACTTCCCCAGGCACTACTGTAACTAGTTGGGGCTGTGTTGTTCTGCACATGGACCCATAAAAAGTATAGGCCTATCCCCCTAGACCAGAAATAAAACAGGTTAGATCAGCAGAGAAGCAGAGTTTTCTTTAGGTAGCTTGGTGCTTCCCAGACTTCACGCCCCCTGAATGATGTCTGATGTCTGTGCCTACACGTCTTGCAAAAAACTGATTCACTTTTTCAAAATGAGTCTGTTTTAAAAAGAAACTTTATGGCACTTCCCTAAGTTGAAAGGTGGTGCCCTTTGCTACAAATATCAGCCAGACATTAACGTGAACAGATGATGGAAGCAAAGCCTGTGTTATGTTTTCGATCCTCTTGCCTATGAAGGCTGCAGGAGGAGGAGGAGAAGTTGGGAAGCTGTTAAAGTGGCTCTGACCCAGATCTGAGGCTCTCTTCTCAGGGCACTTGCAGGAACAGAGAGCAGATTGCATGTTACCACTACTTCCTTGCCTCCCGTAACACCCGTGTTCGAGTCCCATATTTTGGGAGTCATGCAAGATGACTGAAGAGATGCTGATTGTCCCACTGTTCAGATGACGGCAGATACCATGCCGCTGTGGACCTGGGTTCTTAGCTCTGAGGGCTTGTCTTTGCTTCTGTGAGGAGAACCTGAGTGTCTAGCATAGAGCTTCTGGTCCAAAGGCCAAATGTTAGCCTCAATGTTTGTCACCGGCATCTCCACTTACAGAGTTTTGTTCAGTCTGCTTACGAAAAGGAGAGTTACTCCTGGGTGGCAGCCATGGTCAGCTAGTCTTGTGTTATATTCATAAGGGCAAAACACCAAGTGGCATATGGATCCAAAACCTTGGAAAAGTGTCCTTGGGGGCCTCCCTTCCATGATTTAACAAACTTCATTATTTTCAGCTCATCATTTCTCATGTATTGGAACAGGTAAGGAAAATCTCTACCTTCCCTATCTAAGTATTTATGCTTATAAACTCCAGCTTAGACCCTGACTACCTTCATTGTTTCAGAAGCCAACCTACCCCAGCTTCCTGCCTTTTCCCTAACCCCTAACTCCTAGTCACTGTGAGGACTGCATCCCAGAACACAGCAGTTCAAGTGGGACCAAAGGTTATACTATAGAGTTGCAAGGTCACCAGTCACCCTTCTGGAGCAGTGGGGTCCTCACTGTGCCCACCCCCATGCCACCCCTCTTCCTGTGATCAGTTTTCACGTTAGAATTTCTTGCAGCGTCCTTCTGCTGATTGATTAAAGCTTTCTTTAGTCCTGTTCTGTCCTTTATGAATGACACTAACTAGAACTAAGCAGAGCATTCAAGTGGAGACACACTCTGCCTTCTAAGACAGGCAGGATCTTTTTTTTACATATTATTAGCTCTTCTTGACCGGTAGCTCTATGGCTGCATCCTTAAATTCTACCACAAATTTGGTGGATACTGTCAAATCCAACTGACTCATCCAGTGTTGAACTAGGTCTAAGTCCAACGTGTGTCTTTGTCTGAATTCCAGAAAATGTGGCTGTGTGCTTCAAAAGCCAATTATGTAAACTGTAATATCCTCAGAGAAGACTGAAGCTTAAAAGATGAATAAAAGATTATTGATGAGAAGGATGGAGAAGAAAACTCAAGGACGCTTTACACTCAAGGAATGTGAATTGAATTGAATTGAATGATGCACAAATGTTGTTTCTGCAATAGGTTTAATTTGGCAGTGGCAAACAAGAAGCCATATTCCATCCCAAGGTCTGCCATACTTTTTTCTGGGCATGTATCTCAAGGTCACCCCTTCTGGGTCCAGGGACTTTAAGTTTCTGCTGAATAATTGCCTCTGGGTCTTACTGCTATGCCCTGAATTGTGTCCTCTACCAAATTTGTATGTAGAAGCACCAACCTGTGTGTGACCCTTTTGGAGATAAGGCCTTTAGGAAGTAGTTAAGGTTAAGTCAGTCATTTGAGTAGGACCCTAACCCAGTAGGATTGGTGGCCTTGTAAGAAGAGGAAGAGAGGGCGATCTCTCTCTGAACACTCCAAGGAAAGGCCCTGTGAGGACAAGGCAAGAAGGCAGCCATCTACAAGCCAGGGAGAGGCCTTCAGCAGAACCCAGACCCTGCTGGAACCTTGATCTGGGGCTTCCAGTCTCCAGAGCTGTGGGGAAAAAGTGTCTGTTGTTTAAGTTACCTGGTCTATGGTATTTTGTTATGACAGCTCAAGCAGACTAATACAGCTGCCTTCTTTGGGAGCATGTGAACTAATTAACAAGTAAAACAGAAGGATTTGGGGGTGGTCCCTGGGAAGCTGGTGGAACTAGTGAAGTGGAGCACTGGCAGCGGGCTTCTGGAGCTGGGTGGTTCCGGGGCCCCCCGGGACTGGCTGCAGTCTCACTGCCATCAGGAGCATCCACCTCTGCTTCGCTCCACAGGCAGGCATCCTCTTCTGAGGCATTGTCCTCGTGGCCCCTGGACGTCCCTTGGGCTCAGGTCTCCCCAGCATGAGACCTCCTCCTTTTGCTCCAATTCCATAAGTACAAAGGAGGGGCTCCGCCTGCCTGGACTTGGCTTGTTCGCCTTCCTGGGCTCGTCGGTCGGCCACGGGCTGTGCTTGCATCAGGAACCCTCACACGGACCACTCCCGGGGGTACCTCCTTCGGCCTGCACATTAGAGCAGGGGTGAGGCAGGCCTTCCCAAAGTGGAGGATGCTAGTGTCAGTAAAGAACATGACTGGACAGACCAAATGGTAAATGTCCCAATAAAGAAACTTCCCTGTGTGCTTCCCCCCAAATTCTTCTGTGTGTGCTATTGCCCTGAGCTGATGCTGCATTTGTCTTCTTTACCCTTCTCCTGACCCCTAACATTCCATACCCTTCTGTCCCTAACATCCCATATGCTATCCATACCCTTCTGTCCCTAGCATCCCGTACCCTATCCCATACCCTCTGTCCCTAACATCCCATACCCTATCCCGTACCCTTCTGTCCCTAACATCCCATACTCTATCCCATACCCTTCTCCTGACCCCTAAAATCCCATGCCCTATCCTGTACCCTTCTGTCCCTAACATCCTGTACCCTATCCTATACCCTAATTTCCCTAACATCCTGTGCCCTATCCTGTACTCTTCTGTCCCTAACATCGCATGCCCTATCCCACATCCTAATGTCCCTAACATCCGGTACCCTTCTCCTGACTCCTGACATCCTGTACCCTGTCTCCTCCAGCCCTCAATCAGGCTTGAATCTGTCTCTACCACTCCCAGACCATCTAGTGTCACTGTCTTTCCCAGAGAGTGATGGTGTCACATCAGCCACTGCAGTGGGAGGAGTGAACTTTCTCCTCTTCAAATTTCAAAGCTCAAATTTATGCTTCAGATGAAGAATCTGCTCCATCTCTTGACAGAACAGGACATTTCTTGGGTTTATTTAATTGGGCTGAGAAGACCAGCGTACCTTGAATTCATGATTATTGTCTCTTTTCCCAACAGGTTACTATCTAACCAATTAACCAATTTTGCACACTGTCCTTGCTGTTTTGTTACCTGATTTCACAATCTTATTCTGTACCTTATCACTGTTTGATAATATCAAATAGATTGTCTATTGTAAGTAAAATTCCCTATAAAGGGAAGGATAAGGCATATTTTTAAACTACCAAGCTGTTGACTAAGGGATAGGATTTGAAGGAAGAAATAGGGGAGAATAGGGAAGGAAAGAGAGAGAAAACCTGGGAACATGCTTTATTTTAATATACATATGTTAAGTATAGAAAAAAGTCTAATCCAGGTCTTCAAAGCCATAAAAGTCAGCTTAGCATTTATAGTCACTTTTTAAATTTATTTTTTACAATTACATACTGATCTGTTGTTTTTTTCTTCAGATAACATGAGCCCATACTAAGAGGGGTTGTAGCTTGATCCCATAATCTATCTTATTCATTATCTGAGATCTAAATTATAGCCATGGCATCTCATATTTTATTTGACAAAGAAAAAAAAAACTACCCTTTTATTCTTTGTTTAAAATAGTTAAACTGGGAAGTATTCATTAAATATACCATTTCTGTGGAACAAACCATCATAAGAAACAATTGCCCAGGAATTTTTTGACTCCTTATCTGTTAGCTTAAGTTTTAAAATATCTTTGAGTAGAATATTTCCTTTCTAATTTGCCCTGAGTTCTTATCTTGGATGAAGAATTGTCCCCCGGGCATGTGTCCCCATCCATGGAGCTTCAAGTGAGCTTGGTGTCCCAAAGCCCATATCAATAATTTTCCTGTGAGTGCATTTTTGAAGTGACAGAGAGTACTTTATTTTGCTACATTTTGCTAAGCACAGAGGTAACTTTAGCTTCTCTTGTTTGTATCACAGAATCTTGCAACCTTCTGTTTTTCCTGCAGACAACAAAAGACAAAAGAAAAATTGTGTAGAGAAAACACCTAGTGATTAGATTCTTGGCTCTCAGAATGAGTCACGTTACCCTTTTTGCCTCTATGTGGGATGGTCTGAGAGCCCACAGAGCTGTCTGCTTTGGTCTGTACACTATTGGCCTGCACGGCATTTAAAAGAAACTACTTAATCTGTTAGCCATATTTCATTAAGTTCACATGACAATTTCCAGTTTCTCTTATCAATTGAAACACCTGGCAACCATGCCCCATGCTCCTGCCTGGACCCCATCAGCCCCAGGACAGCACCTCCCACCCAGGTCCCCTGCCCCTCACTGTCCCTCCTGACTTTCCAGAGAGACTGCAGCCTTGTGTCCACTGCTGGTTTTGTTATCCTGACCACACTAGTGTTTTTCTTGGAGCCATGAAATAGTTTGGTATCTCATGACCCCATTGCAAGTAGGAAATAAAGGCCCAAGTGGACTGGTTTTTAAGGTAATGACCCATTTGATTGACTGTTACTAGATTACCCCAGTTAAGAGTTTATAGACAATAGAAGAGTCCCTACTATAGCTGTACTGTCTAGTGTAACTGGAGCCTTCTTTCAGAAACCTGCTGTTGGTAATTACCTGATAATGACATAGCAACAGAAATACTTGTGCTTCCTGTCAACATTTCCCAAGTGGCTTCCTCAGATAGCTGGGTTCACCGCAGAAAGATAAATGTTTAAGAAAATGTAAATGAGTTATCTCAATGTTGATAAGTTTTTGTGTGCTTACTAGTGGAGAGTTTTGTCTTCAGATTTGTTTTAATCTCGCCTGCTCATCCTCTCACCTAGCACACGTGATTGGCTTCAGCCAAGTAGGTGAATGTTCCCAAATGCAAATGCCCACAAGATGGGCAGGGAACTTAAAGGAATGACATGGAATGTGCTGCAAGGAAAGCCGTGGTGACTGTCCATTGGTGCTAGTGTTCAGAAGACAATAGGAATACACTGGCAGATGGGCATGTTGCTCTGTCTGAAGGGGCAGCTGCCCCTCAGCATCCAGGCACAGCTGCCACGTGGAAATTCGAGCCCTCCTTCTCCTGGCCTAGTACTCATACCTTTTTATCACGTCTCATTTCTAGGGAGGGTGTGTCATTCCCTGAGCAATATTTGTAACCAGCTATTTTCTCGGTGTGCCCACTCTGTGTCCCCAGGGTCTACCTGTCTCACGCCTCTCCTCTTTTTCTCCTATTTTCCATCAGGTGGCAGCAGACTTCCAAGTCTTCAGGTTTGTCCAGCAGCTTACAGCCTGCGGGTGCCAAAGCTGATGCCCTCAGGGAAGAGATGGAGGAGGCTGCCAACAGAGTGGAGATTTGCAGGGTACTCCCACTCTTTGCTCCTCTCTACTGGGACAGCTGGGGGAGCCCTCAGGGGGTCCCTCTTTGTTCCCTGGGGCTTTAGTGAAAGCCTAATACTGAGCCTCTAGTTGAACAAAATGTCCCCAGCTTTGCCTGGTGGCATCTCTAAAGAGCCCAGGATGAACGCTAAGTGTTGGGGCTTTGATGGTGACCTAGATGGTGAGGGGGCGGCGGGGCGTGCAGTGGTGCGTTGTCAATGGTGTCCCTGCCTGCAAGGTAGGCAAAGAGGGCGTGACTTTGGTTTCTGTATAAAGCTTTTGTAAGTCATTTGGGTTCCCAGTAATAGATTTTAGGCTGTACACAACAGTTGAGAATTTAGACAATCGATGAACCTTGTTTCACTGTTGATATTCAATTGCCTATCTTTTTATTTGCCTTTTAATATTTCCTGAGTCATTTTATGAGTCCTTTGCCTTCTGGGAGATAACTCTTCTATGAAGCTGAGCTGCTAGCCAAGGAGGCAGTCACAGAAAAGTTCCCACTTGTCAAGAGCACAGCACCTCATTCTAAGAAATGTGCTTCTGCCCTTGGGAATGCTAGATGCTGTTGGTTAATATTGGTGTACAGGTTTCCCATCTACTTACCCACAAGCATTTGCAGGGCTTCATTAGCAATACATCATTCATGGCACTGTGCATATGCACGTCTGTATACATGTGGGTGTATCAGTTTGGGTTTAGACCCAAGGAACAGAAGTATTATGTTTCTGGAACCATGCTGGGTCCCTGTCATTTGCATCACACACAGTTTTTTTTTTTTTTTTTTT